GCCACAAGTAGTGATAGACTACAATAACACCATGGGAGGTGTTGACAGAGCCGACCAAGCAATGACATTCTACCCAGCAATGAGGAAACAGCAAAAGAAGTATTACAAGAAGATCTTCAGGCATCTTCTTGAGCAATGCTTGTGGAATGCCTACATTCTGTTCAAAAAATAGAGTGGCAAGCCTGTGATTCATTCGAACTTTGGAAACTTGCCGGAGGTATCTTTGTGAACCACCAAACACCATCAATGGCTGTGAATAAAGGTCATCTTGCTGTTGGCGTTGTCAACCCGAAACGCCTGATTGGCCGACACTTTGTGGACTACATCCCACCAACCGAGAAAAAGTCAGCACCTACTAGGATGAGCGTGGTTTCTTGTTCGAAGCGAGATGACAGTGGAAGGAAAATCAGAAAGGAAACCAGGTTTCATTGTCCTGACTGTGACGTTGGACTTTGTGCAGTCCCATGTTTCAAAAATTTTCATACCCGGGAGGTTTACTAAACCAATATGTAGTGTCTAGTAATATTGCACCCTTGTTTGGACAAATGTCAATGTTTTTGGGTTGATTACATTATTGAATTTAATTGATTATAATTATAATATTATTTTTTATAATTATTTATTATATTATAATTTATGATTTCGTGTTTCAAACTTTATCATACCCGGGATGTTTGGACACATTTAAGTGAGTTATTCCTAAGACTACAATATAAAACAAATTTCAATGCAAAACAATGTACCACTTTGGATTAAAAAATACTGACATAATCAGACCGCCAGGGAGGTTAATGGGCCTCACCTATTGCTGGCAGTGGAACATCTCAAAGGATTGCCCCCCCTCGTAAAAATTATTCTGGAAGCCCCCTTTGTTTCCCTGCTCCCTCCGCTACCCTCAGTTTCTTTTGAACAGTGTATACCCTATCGGTTTAGGACTAGCATCTATTCCATAAATGCCCTCTGGCAGTATAGTTCCAGCATCCGGTAGAGTAAACTTTACAAATGTTGCACTTAAGGTGGTCTTGCTACTGTTTATGCTTATCTGGATGCCAAATGCAATCTCATGCCTAGTTCCTACTGTTACTTTGTATGCTGAATTGTGTTATTATTGTTGTTAAAATGGTAGTAAACTTGTTAAAAAAAAAAAAGAAGTTTCCCCTTGCAAGGTAATATCATAATGTGCTAGTATACTAGCACATTATGTCAAACTTTCCTTAAAAAGAAGCTCTCCAGCAGCGCATGGTCACCGCTGACAGGGCTTCCATCATCACCCGTTCTTCTTTCCTGGTTCCCGGGCTGCAGCTGCTTGAATGGCATGTGCACGGAAGTTTCGGCCACGGCACACAGCTCTGAAGGAACAGCACAGGTATGCCATTTCTTCAGAGCTCATGCGCCGGTGATGTCACTGGCTGCTGCTCTGTAGAATATCTCCTAAATGGTGCACCTTTTGGAGATATTCATTTTACCTACAGGTAAGCTTTATTATAAGCCTACCTGTAGGTAAAAATAGAAATGAGCATTTACTACCACTTTAATATGTTGTCACCCAATATGGGTGGTAATTAGGCTAACATAAAATGGATTACGTTTGCCTTAACTACCTGGTTTGGTACCAGATTTTTTTTTATATAGCACTACTTTTGGGTACTAAGTATTACTTTCAGTGAATTCCTGTGGTAGTGTATGTACGCTCATCCTAGTGTGTCAGAAGGGCTGAGGTTCTTGGGAAGGTCGAAACAAAGAACAGAGGATCCATCCTATCCAGAATCTCCTAAAGGGGTAGCACTACTCTTCCAAAAAGGACACGGGGGACCCCAATGGATTCCCTCTCATTACCTGTTTTGGCCATGGGACAGGAAGTGAAAGTAAATCTTCCCAATGGGACACAGATGGCAACACAAAAGCTGACAGGAGTTATAACCCACCCTTACCAAAAATGAAGAAAAATGTTTTGCCTATTTTTCTACTTTAAAGGTTAAAAAAAAAGAGAGAAAGCTTGGTCCTGACCAATAGTGTTGTTGGGGTTATTTTATACCAGTTTCCATTAATCGGTTACCCTAGGTTCACATCTGTGCGGGTGGTGCCGCTGCGGATCAGCACGAAATCCGTGCAGCCGCACCACCCGCATAGAGAAATGCGGACCCATGGGTGGGTGCCTTTAGTTCTAATGGCACGCTGCCCGCACTGGAAAACGCAACTGTACTGGGAACCGAGGTTCCCGTGCGGGCTGCGTTTTCCAAAGAAGTGCAGGGACTTCTTCCCTGTGTGTCATGGGCACGGGAGTCCATTCAAATGAATGGGCTCTCGTGTCCATGCAAACCGCGGTCCGCATGGCCACATATATGTGAACCGGGGGTTAACATGGACAAAACCCTTCTATTCTGTACAGCTAGGGAAGCTGCCATCTTAGCCTCTGTTTGATATGTATTTGCCATGGTGCTGCACGTAATCAGCTATGACACCAGTTATTTGATGTTCAGATAAGCACTAACATAAGCATACTATTAGCTGTAAAAAGTTATCATTCAAGGCATGCCTTAAATGTAATTGTTTTGTGAAACCGTTAAATCTATGGGTTTAATTCCACTTTAATGAGCAATCAATCATTGATTAGTTAAAGCAGTCAAATAGCTACATGTTGAAATGTACTGTATGTATGGCAGCTGTAAAGATTTGTATTTCTGTTCAGTCACTCTTACAATTCTTACATTCCACTATTTCCAGGTTCAGCCTATCATTAGTATATACTAACCTGAGGTAGTGCAAGCGCCTGTCTAGTTGACTGTAAATGGAATATATTGTTTAGGTAGTTTCCTTGCTATACTTGATACATGTTGCTGATCTGAAAAATACATTCTAACTCAATGTTTCTCAAACTTTTTTCAGTCAAGGCACCCTTTAAAATTATGGATAGTCCTGAGGCACACTTTATAATTATTGAATCTTGAGGCACCCCATTTTAAAATGGGAAAAACTATTCTAATAGTTATATATTATGCAGTAACATCCACACATGTAGGACACCCAACATTAGAGGTGATTTATTCTTCCAAAGCAAATACACTTTTGCACCCTGGTACTGAGTAGTATTTCAGTGTTTCTCTTCTCCATCAATTTTTCTCCATCACTGAGCTAATGTGACCCCAATACTGATGGAGAGGGGCGGGGGAGGGTCAAACTAGGATGCTGTGCAGGCAGCTGACATCATCCTTATCAACTGATGATATCATTGGTTGTCAGGACACCGGCGGCTAGAAGGTCATAATGGTGCCCAATGAAAACCAGTGGCTTTGTGTAACTAAAAGGCAGGCTTGTTCCACCCGCTGGCTTGTATACAAGTTTTGTGCAATTTTTAGACATTTTGTGAAGGCACCCCTGAAGAAACCTCAAGGCACCCCAGGGTGCCTGTGCACCCTGGTTGAGAAAGGCTGCTCTAACGGATTACCTTTGGCCCCATTGGACAATTAATAATGTTTCATTGTCCATTGAGCAGTCTGGAAATGCTGATGCTGAATTAGAAAATAGTGGTGCCATCTGTTTGCTTGTGCAGTGAGAGAATCACAAGACTAGCTGAGCAGAACTACAATCCCCCTAGCAAGTGAAATGATTCATACATATGTATTCCAACTGTGCACTAAGCTGCTGCCTTGGAACTCAACTTTTAAGGCTAACTCCAACTTTTGGACCATGTTACAGCTGTATTTAGGAGTGTAACATACAACATGGTGCAAATGGAACCCACCCCCCATGCCCAAATCTTCTCTGTCGGACCTGTCATTTTTGAAATTTGCGCAGATATGCAGGGCTTCTGCCCATACAGCTGCATTATATGGAGGTCTGTGAATGAAGGAACAAGTCCCATCTGCCACTGTGGACTTCTCAATGGAACACGTGTACAGTGGTAACGGCACGCGTACTCCATTGATATGGAAATAGAGCTGCAGGAGCCTGGCACTGCATCCGTGATCAATGCACATTGTTTTTTTGCAGCAATTATATTATTGTTTTTGTAGAAGGTGGACTTAGCCTTTAAATACCATCTACACAAAAGACAACCATATAATCAGGGTCTGAAAGTGCTTAAAAGTTACTAATTTAAATAATTTACTTTGATTTTTTTTTCCAACAAAAGTAAGCAAAAACAAAAGTGAAAATGTTAATCGTTATTTAATTTTGTCTGTAATAATGAACTATTTGATTGTTGGGCTTCTAGAAAAGGCAGGCACAAATCCCTGAGCAGCTTTTCTAAATACAAGCCTCTCCTGCTGATATTATTGTCAATTAGCAGGCTATCCTCTTTCAGTGACAAACTCTCTGCTAAAAGCACTTTGTTCCAGATGATTAATTGCATAATCCATCTGAACAAATGAGTGGCATTTATAGATAAGCACAGCCATTAAATGAAAACAAAGCAATGGCAAACAGAGAATGGATTGGAAAAACAATGTTACTGATCATAAAAGTGATTGTTGTTGCTTCAGAAAGGAATGTTGTCATCTACGCAAAGAATATAGAAGACATTTTAACTCTTATGGTAGGAATAAACCAGAATCATTGCATGGCATGTACAGTGCTCAGCATAAATGAGTGCCCCCCAACAGACTTGTCACAAAACCTTTCCTTTCCTTTCAATGGGACACTATACTACAAAATACTCCCACAAATTGATTGCAAACAAGATTTGCACACACAGAAAGTATTTTTCCTGACAAATTCATTCAAGACCATGTTGCAAAAACGAATACACCCCAATACAAGTCTTAGAAGCAAAGCTAAAGTTTAACCACTAGCCTACAGGGCACTTATACCCCCTTCTTGCCCAGGCCAATTTCCAGCTTTCAGCGCTGTTGCACTTTGAATGACAATTCTGCGGTCATGCAACATTGTACCCATATGAAATTTTTATCATTTTTTTGTGACAGATAGAGCTTTATTTTGGTGGTATTTAATCACCTCTGGGTTTTTTACATTTTCTTAAACAAACCAAAAACCACTGAAAATTTTGAAAAAAAAAAAGTTTTTTCTTAGTTTTTGTTATAAAATTTTGTAAATAAGTGATTTTTCTCCTTCACTGATGTGCGCTAATGAGGCTGCAGTGATGGGCACTGATAGGCTGCACTGATGGACACTGATAGGTGGCACTGATGGGCAATGATGAGGAGGCACTGGTAGGTGGCACTGATGGGCATTGACAGGCATCACTAATGGGCACTGAAAGGCAGCATTCATATATGGCACTGATAGGCGGCACTGACTGGCACTGTTAGGTGGCACTGATATGCAGCACTGATGCACACTGATAGGCGGCACTGACTGGCACTGATAGGTGGCACTGATTGGCAGCACTGATAGGTAGCACTGACTGGCACTGATGGGTGACACTGAAAGGCAGCTCAGATGGGCACTGATATATGGTATTGATGTGGCACTGATGTGGCACTGGCAGGTGGCATGGATGAGCACTGGAGAGCTGGCACTGATGGACAGTGACAGGTGGCGCTGCTGGGGCTACACAGATCATCAGTGCCCTGATGATCAGTGCACATGTCCCCTCCAAGGAATGCCGATTACCGGCTCTCCTCTCCTCTCCTTTTTGTCAGCGTGACAGCTCATGGGGAGAGAAAATGCCAATAACCGGCATTTCCCTGTTTGCATGTGATCAGCTGTGATTGAACACAGCTGATCACATGACCGAGCCGACATCTTCGGCTCTTTCTGTGATCGGTGATCCATTGTGTCTGAGTGAGGATGTCATATGATGTCCTCCCAGAACAAGAGAACCACCTTGCGTCCATCATATTACTATATGGCGGGCGGGAGGCGGTTAAACAACAAAATCTTAATTAACAAGAATTTAACTACAGGTGAGTCTAATTACTCATTAAACAGGTGTCCAGCAGACAGTTGATTATAAAAGGGCATTACTTTAGTCTAGGTTCACACCTATACAGGTTGCGTTTGATGCATTTCTGCATTGCGTTTTGCGTTTTTGCACTTGCGTTTTTGATGCATTTTGGTTTTTGTTTTCATTTTTTAATTTTTATTGTTGCTAGAGAAATTTTAAACGCAAAATGCATCAAAAACACAGCAAAAATGCAATACATGCTTTTCTGCAGCATTCCCATTGAAGTCTATAGAACCAAAAACGCAGCATTTTGCGTTCAAAAAAGTCCCTGACCCTTTCCAAAAACATGCATCAGAGATGTGAGCCTGTCCCATAGGAAATCATGTTAAATGGACTGTACTGCGTTTCTGCAAAATGCAAAATGCTGTGAACCTAGGGTAACAAAGAAAACTCCTTCCCATTTTATGCTCCTCAGCCATGGCATCACATGGAAGAGAAATGTCACAAGGCCTGAGAAAGAAAATAATTTCTTTACACAAGAAATGTGAAGGCTATAAGAAGATCAGCAAAGCTTTACTTATCAGTCAGAATACTGTGGCAAAAGTGATGCAAAGATTTAACAAAGATGGAACTGCAACCATCTCACAGAGACATCTAGGCCATCCATGGAAGTTAACACCTTAACAGGAGTGTCTTCTGATAAGAAGGGTTGAAGAAAATTGCCATGCAAGTTCACTGAAGTTAGCTAAAGAAGTTTAAAGCCAAACTGGGGTGATTGTTTCCTGTGACACAATACTGTGTACACTGCAGAGGAATGGCATCCATGGGTGTCGTCTACAAAGGAAGCATCTCCTAAAGCCCTTGCACAAAAAAGCCTGCCTAGAATTCGCCAGGGCCCATGCTGAAAAAGAAGACTACTGGGACTCTCTGTGCTCTGGAGTGATGAGAAAAAGAAAAAATGTTTTTTGGAACTAATAGCTTCAAAACTGTATGGTGCTGCAAAGGTGAAGAGTACAAAGAAAAATGTGTGGTGCCTACAGTAAAACATGGTGGTGGCAGTGTCCTTGTGTGGGGCTGCATGGGTTTTGCTGGTGTTGGGGAGCTGTATTTCATTGATGGTATCATGAATTCACAGATGTACTGCTCTATATTGAAAGAGAAGATGCTACAATCACTCCGTGCCCTTGGTCGTCGTGCACTTTTCCAACATGACAATGATCCAAAACACACATCTAAGGCCACTTTTGCATTTCTGAAGAAAAACCGGGTGAAAGTGATTCAGTGGCCAAGTATGTCTCCTGATCTGAACCCAATCGAACACCTATGGGGAATTCTGAAGAGATAAGTTGAGTATCACTCTCCATCCAGCATCCAGGCTGTAAAAGAGGTCGTTCTTGAAGAATGAAAAATGATAGATGTTGCAATTTCGCCAACTAGTTCATTCCATGCCTAGAAGACTTGGTGCTGTCCTTACAAATCATGGAGATCATACAAAATACCTGATGTAGTAGTTTTTGCTGTGGGGTGTATTCATTTTTGCATCAACTAATTTGAGTAAAACTGAAGATTTTGTAATCTAAGTTATAATATTAACCTTACTTTCATGTAATGAGCTAAACAAATGTGCAGCCTCCCGGCGTCTGGGCCTAGACACCGAGCGGCCGCACATTTGCGTTCTATGAAAAAAAGACATATGTGCAGAGAGCGCGTGCCCTGCACGCTCCCAGCATACATGTCTGGTACTCACGGAAAGGTCCCGATCTCCTCTTTCGATCTTTCCTGGCATTGTGACTGCCGTGACGTCCTGTCATGGCGGTCACATGACCCTAAACCCCGCCCTGCCTCCCAGCGTCAGAAACCCCTTAAAGGGCCAGGAGGCACCGGCGTGAAGGGGTTAAAACTCAGTTTTGTCAAAATTTTGGAAATAGTTTTGTGTTCATTGACATATTGATTAAAATCTTACTTTTCAAATGGGGTGTACTCATTTATGCTGAGCATTGTACAATCATTCTGACTTGTACAATATTTTCAAAGACTGGAACAACCATTTTTTGGTCTATATCTTGATAATTCATGAACCTGTACAGAGGTAGACACCCCTGTATATTTTTATATGCAACATTGGAACTCAACTTGGCCACTTCTGTCCAATCTAACCTCATGTATTCGATGATATAAATTTTAAAATGAAAGCTGAAGTTTAACCACTTGACCTAACCGCTTGACCTCTGGATGGCAATTGCACGGTCATACAACACTGTACCAAAATTAAATTTATATAATTTTTTCACACAAATAGAGCTTTCTTTTGGTGGTATTTAATCATCATTGTGTTTTTTATTTTTTTGCTATATATATGAGAAAATACTAAATGTTTTTCTTAGTTTCTGTTATAACATTTTTCAAACAAAATAATCCTTCTTCATAAATTTAATACAAAATATAGTCTGTTAAATTTTTTTGGTAGAAATAAACCAAATCAGTGCTTATTATTTAGTCTGTGTGAAAGCTATAGAGTCTACAAACTATAGTATACATAGAGTATTTGAAAATTCATCAGTCCTGATAGACTGACGGCCTATCTAATTTCTTGAGGCCCTAAAATGCCAGAACAGTACAAATAACCCCCCAAATGACCACTTTTTGGAAAGTAGACAGTCCAATGTATTTAGTAAGAGGCATTGCAAGTTTTTTGAAGTTGTAATTTTTTGTAACAATTTTTTTAAAAATGAAGAAATTTAATAACATTTGTTTATTTTAATTTTTTTATATACTGTCACCAGTGTAGTACAGCGTGACTGGTGTGGCAGTGATCAAGGATGATTAAAAAAAAATATATATATTTTTTAAACTTTTATTTTAACATTTTTTTGCTTTTTTTTCTACATACTGTCATCAGAGTAGTTCAGTGTCACTATAGTGATCCAGTACTATTCTGGATGGTGATCAGGGTTTTTTGTACACTGTTATTGCTTATAACAGTGATGATCACTGTTGTAAGCAATAGTTTTTACTGTCATGAATGGCTTTCCATTCATGACAGCTTGCTTACTATTGTCATGTTGCGATTGGCTACAACTAATCACATGGTACAGGGTGCCAAGTACCATGTGATTAGCTGTGGGCCAATCAAAGCATCACAACAAAAAGCAAGCTGTTCATGAATGAAAGCCATTTATTACAGTTTGCTTACATAATATCATGTGATTGCTATGATTGGTCGTAGCGAACATGATACTCCCAGCTAGGTACTGAGCGACCATGATCTGCTGCATGCCCCAGGGGGCACGCTAGTGCGCATGTGCTAGGCGACATATGGGTATGTTGCCTAGCCTGTAGCTACCTCCTGTCTGCAGTGGCTATACTGTGGGCAGGAGGCAAGCATTTATTCTGCCTATATTTTTCCTTCCCTGGTATATCAATTTTCCCTCAACAACACATCAATACCATTTAAAGGAAAAACCTTTCATTACATACCTTACTTTAGATCCAGTGACTGGGTCTCTGTGCTTTTCTAGGCTGGTTGGAGGGGCTGGCAGGGTGATGTACATAGCTGCCTGAAAACACCACAGCACCTTGTCTCAGTACGACTTTGAAGGGCCCATAGCCCTGATGCAAGCAGCTGGCTGGCCCTTACGCGGACTTCTGCAAATATGAAAATGCCCTATTGGGAGGGAGTCATTTTGAAAGAGTGGGTATTCCTAGGCAGGCTGCAATTGTATGCAGACCGCCATAGGCAGCACCCACGTGATACTGAGCCTACATGATTAAAAGAACTAAAATCCAATAATGAAAAAGGCAGGCCAGGGACAGGATGGGGAGGAAAGTGCTAGGCCATGATGGACATCCTCTCCCTAGGAAATGAGGCCAACATTATGTGACTTCCTGGAGCTTCTAATGCACACTCTGAGAAGTTCTCTGAGGCACCAATATTCAGTACTGCAACTTTTTTTTTTTTTTAACATACTTTTTGGACTATGAATGAAATTCACAATGCTGAGGAGCGCCTTGTTAGTTCTCCTCCTATAGTAAGCTGCCTAAAGCTCACTGTTCAGTAGTACCACTCTATGTAGGTAGCCATGGGTACCACGGCTGCTGAATACCCTAACGGCCAGTGGGGATTCCTCTGTTTATTTTGGATGGGGGAATTGATTGATTTTCTCTCACTCTGGCCCATGGGCTGATTAATAGAAGGTAAGTTGGGTATGGCCAGCTTAACAACCACCTTAGTTCACCGCTCCTAACCTCTGAAGGGATGATTACAGTAAGATAACATACAGGCAGTTTGTGCTTATAATAGCTGGTTTTAAATTAAATTCATTCAATAATATATAATTGAACTAAAGTTTTCTTTTGCATTTGCCTGCAGTTCACGTTAAATAAATGTAAAAAATTAACATGCCAAACAATAGTCTTGCTTAACTAAAGTGGACGATTGGTAGGAAACAAAACTGCTCCTTCATTAGTGGCTCAGCGGGCTGCGGGAGCCTTTGAAATGAAATCTCTGCAGGTAATAGCAGGCTCTTGTATCATGAAGAACAGGAAATATAGAAAACGCTGGGCTCTGTATATCAGCAGCATGATGTCCACGGGCAGCTTAATCTATTGTGCCACATGAATGGAAAGTTGGCTCTGCGGCTTTAGTACACTTCTTTAGCTACAATGTGGGATCAAGAAGAAAGTTTGACTTTATGGTAATTCTGGATGTCTTTCAGTTCAAACTATGGTATAATTAAGATGTCCACGTTGAGGTTTTGTAACTCCCATATTAGTTATACCGTATTAATATTTGCATTACTACAGCAAATAATACTGTATATATGGAAAGTCTTTTACTTGTACTATATCTTTAAAGGGATCATTATTTGCTATGACATGTATATTCTTGTTTGGAGAGTCTCAGAAAATGGAG